TTTATAATTAATATTATATATATATATATATATATATATATATATATATATATATATATATTAATATTAATATTATATATATTATATATATTATAATATTAATATTATATATATTATATATATTATATATATTATATATTAATATTATATATATTATATATTAATATTATATATATTATAATATTAATATTATATATATTATATATTAATATTATATATATTATATGAATATTATATATATATATTATTATTATTAATAATGCCCTAAATAATAAGTCCTAAATAACTTTTTTCCATCTAAATATTAATTTACGAACGTTTCGTCGTGTCGCAGCTTCGCAAGCGGACAATGGAGAGGAAAAACTCTCGAGAGGGGATACTGAACAGCATCTCTCTGAGCAAGAAGAACGAGGCCAACAGCAACGGACAGAGCGACAACAAGGGCGAATTCGACGACCTTATATCGGCCCTTAGGACCGGGGACGTGTTCGGGGAAGACATCGCGAAGTTCAAGAGATCAAAACGCCGGCCTGTGACGCCGAGCGGTCAAGAATCGCGCAGACACAGCGCGCACAGGGAAGACTCGAGGGAGCGGCATTGAAATCTCCGCGGCTCTCTCGGTGACTTCGACGCTTGGCGGCTTCGCTGCACAGGCCGAGCTCGTTTCGCTCCGAACGCGACAGCGTGGCTCGCTCTTGCGGCAGCTTAGAGAAACAATGTGTGATAGGAAAAAGGCGAGGACGTTATACCCGGGGAGCGTGTAACTTTCTTCGTGTAACGTAGAAGTCGAGAATCGAGGTATAACATAGTCGACGTAGAAAACGTGTACATAGAGTAAAAAAAAAAAGAAAAAGAAAACAAAAACAGGTATAACACAATGCCGCGAGTTTCTTTATCGATTCCGTAGAATTATTTCGGTTCGTTATTCTTGAAGCTGTCTTCCTCCTTTCTCGCTCGCTGTTTGTCCGATCAATCTCGTTTCGAGCTCCGGTTGTATAAATTATAATCAGTAGTCACAATTTGAAACACGATAGGGCCGTTTGATGAATGACTTTTGACCTGTTCGAATTATCGATGGATTACCATCTTGGATCATAAACGATGTAGACAAGTATTGTTCACATTTTTGCACAACGACGAGCAATCTATGAATTCGGTTTTTTCTTAAACAGATTGTCGACCAATCGGGAATCAATTTTTTTGAATTAAACAGCACGATCGTTGCCGCATAATCAATTTTGCCGCAAATTTATGGGGTCGAGGTGTCTCTTAGATATCAGAGACGCGATAGCGTAATTTAAGTTTCCGTTCACGTGAGGTGTTTTCAATATTCGACTTCGTGCAAGGTCGGCATGAGATGTTTTTCAGACAATACGACGGTTCGAACGCGAGACCAATTGAGCGAATATCAATTTGTACATTGTTGAAAGTGTCTGTGTTGAGTTAGATAAGGATTACACGCGCTCATTTGTTGTATATAGTCATTATCTATTATTTTGTTAACTTTGCCCGCGCTCGGGGGCAGATATTCGCAAAACTTCGACGTGAGTATTTCGCCAATCAATCGGACCAAGGTTAAATTGACAGCGGGGCCCCTCTGTCGGGCCTCGCACGACTGAATGAAATTCTCGTAGACCGACAGATCTTATACGGAGGAGCTTTCTTAATAAGGAATCATCTTTTTTACATTGTCGACAGTATATACAGGTTGTCCCAAAAATCTCTCGCAATCCGGAAATGGGAGGTCATTTGAAGCAACTTTTTCCTTTGCGAAATTTTTCTCCGAGGCTTCGTTTACGAGTTATTAACGAATAACACTGACCAATAAGAGGCGAGCTCGGCTGGCGCGCGGCGGCCCAGCCAACGAGTGCAGTTCCGCTCATTGGCTCGGCCGTCTCGCGCCAAATGATCTCGCCTCTGATTGGTCACTGTTTTTCGGTGATAACTCGTAAACGAAGCCGCGGATTGAATTTTCGCTAAGGAAAAAGTTGCTTCGAATGACCACAGGAATCCCCTACTTTCGGATTGCGAGACATTTTTGGGACACCCTGTAGAAGAAGGGCCTAGGGGCGCGACGCATTCGATTTTTCGCCCCGCGAAACCTACAAGTCTGATTTTGTATCTTAGAGAGCGACGAACGCGTAAACGAATCATCGATTAGATTTAATTAGGGGCTCGTTGACAGTTGCCAAGTCATTAATGGAAAAATTAATGTTAGTTCTCGGTGTGTAGAGGGATGATGGAAGGCGAAACGATTCTAGACAGGAGTTCGTTGTATAGTAGTCGATGTTTTGTAAGCTTTTGTATTTTTGTAAATATTCAGTATTGATGTCTCGTTCTTGTTTGGGAGGGGCGATCGCTCGACAAGAATTCATGTCCAGTTAATATATTACTGCGTCATTAATCTCACATGTATTAATATATGAAGAAATATACCGAATAAATACAAAATCTAAATCATCGAACGCGTTGTTCAATTTCATCTCGACTCGTTCCTTTATCGGCGATTCAGTTATTTATAAATATTTTACTTAATGCAACATTATTTCTTGTTTTGAAAATGTTCGTACTTATAGTCGCTTTGTATCTCGAGTTCTGAGAAATATTTTCATTTCAAAATTACATGCTAAAACAGCGGATGAAATGCTTCACGACATCACTGGCAATAGGACTAGTTATAAACATTGAACGTTTAGAAATAATAATGTACTAATTCAATATCGATCGCGATCTGGCAAAGTTAGAATCGAGTATAGTCTACCCTAGTCTTCTCTAATCTACTTTAACCCTTCAGTGTACAGTGGTCTGAAGCGAGGTAACTTTTGACAAAAAATCAATTTCTCAAGTTTAATTTATGGAAAAAATATTTTTTTTCTATGAACCGATAATCTTTCGAAACTTCAATAATCGGAATATTACTTTCATAAAATAGCTCTGTAATTAAATATAACGTTATAAAGTTAAAATTTTTTGAAATTGAAGTTTGAAGCATTTGATTTAATTACACAGTTAGGAGAATTAAAATACTAGTTTGTTCTACATATATCTTCACGTCTAATGATGCCTATATTTTAGTTATTTAATTACGTAGTACATACATAGTATTAGTAGTACAAATATGATTACACACAATTTAGACTTCAATAAGAATCTAAAAAAAAAGAAAAAAAGATAGAATATAGTAGACGACAGATTTGTCTAATATGAAAGCTTACAGTATTGCAAAAAGGATCGTACAAAGTTTAGCTGCGATTATCTGCGCTTTCTAATTTTCTACGGATTTGAACAAATCACGACGCGGTATTTTCAACGTCGTCATCAGTTCGAAAAATGACGAGCAAAGGAACATGGTCTTTATGTACTGTTTACAATTTCAATAAACACTAACTTTTGGTTTCGTTCATTCAGAAGATTTATAATACATTGTGGTATGTTTACATTACTTATTAAATATTATATCATTTAACTAGAGATTCTTTACATTTTTTACAATGAAACATTTGTTAAGACGATTTATTTTTAATATGAAATAATCCACAGGATTTAATACATTTCGATTATAAAAACCATTTAATTTCGACCACAAATTACGTGTTCCAGACCACTGTGCGTTGGCATCCAATTTCAAAACTAACCATGATATTTCAGACATTTTTAATGTTCCGACAGACAAATGTTTTCAACAAAACGTGATCAGTATTCAATTTTTCAAATACATATTAGAATATAAACACTTAAAAAAAAATTTTTCTAGAAAAGATACTGGTCATCTCTGTTGATGATTTTTGACGATTGTTAATAACCAAGAACTGTAATACACTTTAATATGTAACGAACAATAAATTAAATATAGACACTCTTTCCACGCACACGGTTGCACACCGCGTGGATTCCCCGGCCAGATGCCACGTGCTCACGCCCATTTCACCAGCGCTCTTCACTTGTTCCCTACCAACTTAAATCTAGTTCTTCGCGTCCTAGAGATCCTAACCTAACCTATTAACTAAAATTCCCTATATAAAAATAACCTACAGCCAACAACCTCGATTTTTTAAACCTTAATATATACTTTTGACTTGATAATATTCTAGCTGGCCTCGAGACGAATTTAACGACCTACTGTAAACTTAAACCTTGAAACAATGGTAAAATAATTTAAGCTAAAGAAAGCGAATTCTCAGACCGCTGTGTAGTACACAGGTTGGGTGTTGGGACTGAGTGATCCGTGAGCAGGCTCGCGAGCTATAAGGACTTTCAGAACTTACTCCCACTTTTCTAACCGCAAAGGAAGGAGGAAAGGAGTAGGGGTAACTGAGAGCAACGCGACGCCACACTCCCCACTTCTAGTACGTTTCCCCTTCCTTTGCGTTGGACAGTAGTTACTCAAGAGGGAGCAAGTTCTGAAAGTTCTTACGGCCTGCGACTCCTGTTCCTGATGTTATTATTTTTCATTTGTTTACATTCTGCTTTACCAGCAGTGTTTGGCCGTTTCAATACATTCTTACAAGGTGAGGTCCCCAGGATTGACGCTCATTTCTTGATGAGATTTGGTACAGTGATAGAGCTTGTAAAGCTGAATCCAATGTGCAGCGACTCGTATTAATATTCGGACACCTTGTAAAGCGGAATAACTTCTCTAAAAGTCAGAGCCAGAAAAAATAGTGTCATCTAATATGTTCAGTATTACCTGCTGTTTCAGTCGATACAGTTTGTTTCATTATACGTTTACGCTCTAACATGATACACCATCGAAACTTATCGTGATGCATATGCATTAGACCTTGTACTAATTAAAATTTTGGTTCCGAAATACGTGGGTAAAGTATCTGCAGAAAATTGGCACGTTCTATCTGTCTCAAACCATTATTTAAACGTGTTCGCCTGCTCACGAAATAATATTAAACTATAAAAATCTATATAGAAGAAGCCACAGAACGCTGTTACAGTGATAAATATGTTAAACAATGATTCCCGTTAAAGCACAAGACGCATGAACTCAGAGAAAATATATTCTCTACCAACCCCGCAGTATATTTAACAAGAAGGAAGCAAATTGTACAGTCTCGACTAAGAATTTGGCATACTAAAATAACACGTCGGTGCATACTCTCTAAAACAGACAAACCAATTTGTAACAACTGTAACACTGAGCTTACAGTGGAGCACATCCTAATTGAACGTCCAGTGTACAATATCAGAAAAAAAGTAAAAATGCCCGATACCATCAAAGAATGTTTGGACAACTACGAACAAACAGCAAAAGTTATGTCATACTCAGAAGAAACCAAATTGTTCAGCGAAATTATACAGTAACATAAGAAGCCTAGATTTAAACAAAAATGTAAAATGTAATGCAAAACTATTGTATATTACACTACACGTAACCTACGTACGTTATTCCACAAGCGGTTGCTGATTGCTATTAAGCAGACGCAACATTAAATAAATGAATTAAAAAAGAAAGAAACAAGACACACTCGTAACTTTACAATTTACATTTGTCTCAAAATTGATTCTCGTCACTCCCAGAACGAACGAAAAAACCATCGCTCAAAGTCACCGATGCGACCGAAGGTACCAACATTGATCGATACCAGTGGTCGTGCATTTTTATTCAGCCGGGGCACTAAATTCCAGTTGCAAGCGTTTCGAATCGCGCGCACGAGAATCCTTGCAATCTAGCAAGCAATGTTGAAGTGACTTACAAGCTATCATTACAGTCGCCGTAAACACACGTCGCGATCCACCTATCTACGTCCACCATGTGCTATTGCTATATGGATAAGCTGTTTCCGCGCAACCGGCCGTGCATAGTTTCTATAAGTGCGGCGTTTATTATTAATTCTTTTCGTCGTCAAGAGATTCGAAAGTATGCGTTCCCTTCAGACTCCGTCGTCTACTGCGCACCGAATGAACCAAATGTTTCCGTCGCGGAACGCGATTTCCTTATACAGCTGATAACGTGGAACCTTTTTCGTCGGCTGTTAACGTAATCTATCGCGACGATTCCAATTGCAAAGCGCCTCCGTTGAACGAAACGTTCGAATAGAATCGCGTCACGATGTTCAAGAACGTGACTCCAGAGAAGGCGATCACTTTCGTCCGATTTAGCGTAGGTTTGATCTGCTGTTGGCCGTTGCCATCGGCGGCTGCGAGAGCTCAGGTTTTCCGTCTGCGAATTTTGAAACTGTTGAATGCACTTTGCGCGTTCGGATTAATCTTTCCGCTGTTCTACGCGATGATTCTGCACGGCGACGATGCCATCGAATTCTCAAAGGCGGCGATCATATTAACCGGTTCTGTCAACATTGTAACGCAGATGCTGATCTGCAGTATTCAGTACGATCGACTTCAGGTAAGAATTTTCACGTTCAGTTTGTAATTTACGAATGTATTTTGTCATCTCGAAGTGTAACAACAGCACTATTCATAGTGTGTATTTCCTGTATTTGTTTGCATCGGTGTCGCAAATTTGCTGCATGCGATACCCGCATTTTGAAATCGAATTATATGGATTCTCGCCTTGACAAGACGACTTAAAAAGTTGCCTGTTCAACAGGATAACGTATATTGTATAATATATGTATTATATCGCAATGTTACGTTGATTTTTTTTGTTTTTTTTATAGTTATATATATATATATATATATATATATATATATAGTAAATTCTCCCATCTTTTCTTTCAGCTTATAAACAAAAATGGACATTTTGGGATATTCGAGGATTATTATTATTATTGTTATTATTATTATTAATTATTATAGATTATTATTATTCGAACATTGCACCTTGTTTTTATAATTGGTGACAATCGGCAACTACAAAAATGAGCCGCGAGGCTCGAATAATTTTATCTCCTCTTTCCAAATTGTCCATTTTTGTTTACAAGCTGACGGAAAATTAGGGAGTATTTACTATATATGTATGCATATATTTATTTATTTATTTATTTATTATATGTAATATATATTTACACATTTATATATAATTCTTATTTATATATATATATATATATATATTTATATATATATATATTTATACATTACATAGATAAAGTGTATTATCCACGTTAATCTTTTTCTGTTTCTTTATATAGTTATATCGCGGTATAAATGTGAATATTAATGATCAAAATATTCAAGAAGTATATTCATTGCCTGTACTCTTCCTGAAAAATTATTCCCTTTAATAAAAAGAAATATCGAATTTTCACGATCTAATTCAAGCTACTACGACCTATTGTGTTGAGATTTTTTCGGGGATTGATTAGAACGCAGTTTTATAGCAGCTAGGAGCGGAAGAAGACTCGCGAGATACATGGGTGAAAATATAATTTGACCATGACATGTTGTAGCGTTTGATCATGAACATAACAACTACCTTCCAAAATGCGAAGTCGTACGAAAGATGCGTGTTTCAACGATACGTCGACACGTACTCCAAGTTTTACGGGATGACGGTGCTATGGTATTACGTGTCACCACTGGTCGTCGTCTTCGGAACGATCTTCTTACCTCAGCCGTTTCCAACGGTCTCCGAATATCCGTTCCGCGTCGATTACGAACCCGTGAGGACTACGATCTTTGTACACCAGGCGTTCGTCGGCTTCCAATGTTCCGCAGCAGTCAGCGTGAACGTGTTCGCAGCATTGTTAATTCTGTACGCTGCGGCGAGGTTCGAGATTCTGATGATTGATCTGAAAGAAGCTACCAGCATAGACGCTTTGGTTCTGACCGTGAAAAAGTATCACGTGGTCACCAGGTTAGTGATTGTTTGGGAATTTCTTCTCGTATACGAAGAGATCGATCTTATAAGTACCACGTCATATTCTTCCTTCGATGTATTTGTCGATCATGAAACTGTAGTCGATCTATCGGATTGCAATAAATTAGTTACCATTGATGGGGGTACTGGTTCATGAAAAATTCTGCAATATAGCACAGGGTGTCCTCAAATTATGATACGAGCGAGAAATGATGGATTCCTCAGGTCATTTGAAGTAACTTTCTCCTTTACGAAAATTTTCTCCGAGGCTTCGTTCACGAGATATTAACGAAAAACCGGTGACCAATGAGAGGCGAGCTCCGACTGGCGCGAGGTGGACGAGCCAATGAGCGGAACTGGGCTTCGCGCGCTCGTTGGCTCGGCGAGTTCGCCTTGCGCGAGGCGGCCGTGCCAATGCGCGGAACAGAGGTTTCGACCGCTCATTGGCTCGGCGAGTTCGCCTCGCGCCAGCTAATCTCGCCCCTGATTGGTCGCTGTCTTTTCGTTAATAACTCGTGAACGACGCCTCGGAGAAAATTTTTGTAAAGGAAAAAGTTACTTCAAATGGCCTCAGGAATCCCTCATTTCTCGCTTGTACAATAATTTTCGGACACCGTGGATATTATTTTGTATGTTATCTCATTAACTCTGAAGAAACGGTTTTGTCTTCCACGAATCGAAATTCTAAACAGTTACTTCGCGTCCTGTTTTCTACAATTATTATTTGTCGCAAAATTGTATCGGGCAAAGTCTCTTCCCCGTCCCGCTGTACGTATTATATTCGACAGAATTACTATAATAGTTACATTCGTGTCGCCATATAATTATCACGAAATTATGTTGGTTTTACATAGAATCGGAAAGGAAGTCATCAAGGGTACACGTTACATAGCTTTGTTCACGATATTGTATAGCAGTATAACCCTTGTACTTTGTGGTCTGAATATTATAGGAGTGAGTACTTGAAACAACTACGACACGTTTCAGTAGTGAAATGAATGCTACCATAAACGGTATTTTAGCGGCAAGCCATCGTGGTAAAACTGCAGTTTTTTTTCTTGGCTGTGATTTCATTGCTGAATGTCTTCATGTGCGCGTTGCCGGCCGACAATTTGATAAATGTGGTGAGTGATGAATATCAAAATAAGTGTTGCTGTAAATTCGCCCTAATTTTCCTTCGGCTTTTAAACAAAAATTAATAATTCGGGAAGAGGTGGTACGATTATTCGAGCCTTGCACCTCGTTTTTATAATCGTTGAAATGAAAATTTTTTATAATTGTTATAACTGTTAAAACGAGCCGCATGGCTCGAATAATCGCCTAATATATTATATTCCAATTACAATATTCCAGTCAATAATTCCCAAATTGTCCATTTTTGGTAACAAAGTGAAGGAAAATTGGAGAATATTTACCGTATTTGGCAGGAAGACCGTTCGTTCGGCTAAGATTAATTTTCTTCTTTGGTTCCTTTCCGCATTGGTCACAATCAGAGTGAGAATACTGTTCGAAGTGCGTACGAATCGAAGTGGTACGATCAAGTACTGGATGTTCAGAAAACTGTGCTTCGCATTTTAGTGCCACAGGTGCCAGTAATCATCAGCGTGAAGTGTATCATCCCTATACTTTCCTTGGAATATTTTTGTTCGGTATTACTTTATTTTATACTCGTATTTATTAGGTCGTTTATATGAAATGTCTGATAATTCGAGGAGAAAGAACAATCGGTTTTGAAAATTTAAATAAAGTTTTATCGATCCAAATACGCACCACTTGCTCGTTTGGAGTTTGGCAACTGCGGTCTCAGCAAAGAAATGTAATTAGACTGTGAATTTTTATATATTTTAATATTATTTTTAATTTAATACTATTATATTATTATTTATATTATTATATTATTATATTATTATATTATTATTTATATTATTATATTATTATATTATTATTTATATTATTATATTATTATATTCTTAATATTAATATTAATATTACTTTAACATTAACAATTTATATTTAATGTTAATAATTTAATATAACTGTAAGAAACAAAAGTTAAATTACAATGCATTCCGCCTTGACCATTTTTAATAACAATGTTCAACGAATTTTTAAATCCGACATTTTATATTTCACGACGCAATATTTTGTCGACAACTGTTCTGATTATAATCTTTGAATATAAACCGTGCGATTTCAGTTCGTTTCAAACGCAGTATCGCTGTTCACCGTCCTGCGAATGATGTTTGGCGATAACCCAGATCTACTGTCATCCAAATCAACTAATAGTACATGTTGCGTTGATTAAGTCCTCACAGTTTAGAGTTCACGCGACACATAGAAACATACATTTGATGTTTATATCGGGGAATAGTGGTGTTGTTGTGTTATACATTCATCTCCCTGTTTTATGAAATAATTACGAAAATTATATATATCATACAATTACGTATCGCATAACAATTATGTAATGTTGCATTATCATTGCGTTATTGTGCAATCATGGCAACACAGTACAGTTATCTCAATAATTGTAAAATCCGTCTACTATTCTACGAGAAGTTCTACAGCAATTGCTTTCTCGCGTTTCAAACGTAAACTATAAATTTCACGGGTATCGAAGGGTACTTTGTACACGCAACTGTTATTCCGTCGCTATATCGTTATTACCATTTTTTAATATAGTATCCAGCTGCACGGAAAAATCTTATTTCCTGTGCTGTTTCGAACACCTGTTTCCGCAAAAATCGAACACGCTCTTTTTTCTTTGTAAACGTTTTTATTTCTCTCACACTTCAATTCTCGTAGATTTCTTAGATACATTCATTATAGATTTGTATAATTTCCTTACCTTTAATTCTGCCCTATGTAAACGAAGTAATAATAAAGGTCTAGGCGATAAAATTAACATCACGATTTAATTATTTACACGGCCTTATAGTATTTCATATTTATGATCATCATTAGCGTCGCTAATGATCAAACGAAACCACGTTAAAGTATAGATTTCTGCTGTTTCAACTACTTACTGTGTCACTAGAGAATATCCTTTCCTCAAGTAGCCAACACCGTTGATAATGGAACTGACATTCCCTTTTCCGGTTGGGTCTGCTATTGCGAAGAGGAACATGTGCGCGTGGCCAGCGGAAACACTGATGAATATGGTGGGTCAATATGGCATCTATGAATCAGAACTTGATCAATACAAGACAATAGAACAACAATTTAACCGACAAATTCATACTCTCTCATTTAACACGTCCACAAACAAGTCAGAAAATTCGACATTCCATACGACACACGCGACATTACACATAAAACATGCTCCATCATGACTGTACCAAGATCAAACACACCTTGCAAAAACACGATCATTTTGGAGTCTAGTAATATTTTGTGTTCACTTTGAAGTGGCGTGTCCAATCATTCACCAACACTCGACAATGTTTATTTCAAGTAAACCACAACAACTCCAAACTTGCAAACACGACGAATGTCTTCCGACGAATTGCTTTCCCTATTTTTAGTCCTTTGAGCGTGTAGTATACGTCGGTCATAATAAAAACACCTGCAGAATATTACTCAGTTGTATATGCTCGTGAAATGTTGTTAAAAATAGTGCGATTTCACAAGGTAGCATATACAAATGATCGCGTGCGTATCGCGTACACGTCTAAACTCAGAATATCAATTTTAAAATCAAATATGCTCCCGTCGATAGTAGATTACAGTACTTGTAACAAACTATCAGGTTCGCGAGAAAAAAAAATCCAAGAATAATCGTTCCGCGGACGGAAAAGAAACTCTAAGGCTATCATCATGTAGTTCTAATTGTAAGAATCTTGCAACTCAGACAAGGTTACCGATACGTAGCGTCTTAATTCGTTATTAATTCAATCGCCGTGAATCTCCTCGGATTTCGCGGAGCTTCCCATTTTCTCGAGAGCAGTCGACGTTCCCTTCTTTTCGCTTTATGATGTTCGCAAACGCAACACCGAAGAAGGCTATCACCTTCACGAAATACAGCGTGAGTTTGTGCTGCGGTTGGCCGCTCCCTTCGTCAGCGAGCAAGCGTCAATTTTACGGTTATCTAGTCCTGAAAGTTGTGGGTGCTCTACTCACCGTCGCTGTGTTTTTGCCTGCGCTCTGGTCGCTTTATCTTCACATTGATGATCCAGTGATCACCGGCAATACGTTCGGTCTCGCATGTGCTTTGCTTCAAAACTTCGCAAGTATAATCATCTGTACCATCCAGCACAATCATTATCAGGTGAGACGTTTTAAATTTCGACTAATTTATCGTCGCAAGCACCCAAACGCGTTCGGAGGATTTAGAAATCCACCGTGCTCTAATAATTCTGAAATAACAATATGCAGAATTACCTTCCGTGTTCATTACGTTTCTATCATGATCTTACAATTATAGAATATGTTATGTATAACACGTGTTATAATAAGTGTCATTCTACAGTATCTACAGTTATCCCATGTGTTCCAGCGACTGATCGAGGAAATGACGAATTATTTAGATAAGGCGGAGTCCCATGAAATGGCTATCTTCCAGCGATACGTGGACACGTATTCTACATATCACGGGACATCCACGTTATTCCCCTATCTTTGCGCGACACTCGTTGTGGTCGCAACATTGTTCTTGGAACAGCCGTTCCCGGTGGTCACCGAGTACCCATTCCGCGTCGATTACGAACCCATCAGAACAATCATTTTTCTAAATCATTCATTCGTCGCTTTACAAAACGGTTCGAGTATAAGCTTGAACACGCTAACAGCGTTGCTACTTTTATTTGCTGCAGCACGATTCGACATATTGATGCTACATTTGGGAAAAGCTGTTACCGTCGCAGACTTAAAGGAATGCATGAAAATGTACGATGATGTGAAAAGGTGAGAACGTTAATCATAATACGGTCATTTCTATACGGATTTCTATACAAATTCTCATTTATGGAAACTAAAACCAGGAAAAAATTACTGTGTCTGGTTGAAACATTTCTTGCGGTGAGAACAAAGAAAAATATTACTTATTTTTATTACAAATGATATTCATTTGTATTAACCCGCACGATTCTGGTAGTTTAACAATCTATTATTGTTATAAATACATAAAGGTCTGCAATTTATCTCTGACCAATATGAATTTTCTTTCGTGAACGAAATGCAGATTGAGTGACATGATATTTGTACATGAAATATTTTTATTGCTTTTAACATTTTGACCGCCACATCAATACCCCAAAAAATGTTACATCCTTGAATCATTTCATTTCATCGTATTACGATTGAAAAGCAAAATTGTACGAGTTCAGTGTGAACGCTTTTGAACCATTCAACATTGTTTTGGAGATATTTGACATATCTTTAGAAACAACATAGGTATTTTAAAAATAAATAGTTTTATTGCAAAATGAAGATTTATGATTCAAAATACTCTAATTTAGATATGCACATGATGTCGTTGGCGGCATCCAGTACATAACATTGTCCACAGTTTTATTCACTAGTATAATCCTTGTAAATGCCGGACTCAATATCATTGGGGTACGTAGTCATGAAACATAGGTTGATAAGAGACATAGACGTCATTGAAATATAATACTTTTTCACAGCATCTTGCGTTTACTGTAAAATGTCAATTTACATTTGTGGCCGTGACGGTGTTGCTGGAAGTTTTCACGTGTGTTTTGCCAGCTGACCGTCTGATAGAAGTCGTAAGTAACTAATTGAATCCGATCATTGTGAAGGATTAATTAAGGTATACTGACATCTGTATTACTTTAAAATATTAGTCAGTCCTTTTAAGAATCTATTGTGTGGTTCGTATATATTATATACGTAATTATTTCGTATATATATATCGTGTGTATTCGTATTTTCTGTAACGAATTTTGTTATTCCATACTGATAACTTTCATGTATTTTATGTATTTTATGTATTTTATATTCCGTACTTGTCAACATGATACTTTAACTAGGGACATTATTGCCCATTTTATTGTTAATAATGTGTTATTTACATAATCGAGGTGCTTAACAACGAATTTTTGCTACAACATCTCGGTATACTTATTCGTAACAACAAATTCGTACGTGCATTTAACTAGAGACATATTTAACTACAGACTATTTCATTGTTAATAATGTATTCTTTTCATAATCCGTGTGCTTAACACTGTCTTTTTGCTGTATCTCGATACGCTTATTTCTAACATCAAATGTTGTATGTGCAAATATCGCTTGGATAAGAGTGATAAAATTTAGACACGAGATATTATAACTAGAGACATTATTATCTATTTCATTGTTAATAATGTATTCTTCTCATAATCAGAGTGCTTAACATTGACCTTATGCTGTATCTCGATGTGCTTATTTCTAACATCATGTTCAAACTGCACTTTGAGAAGACTGACAAAATTTAGATAACAAAAATTTTATTAACATTAGTTGCTAAATTGTGATTTATCAATCAGAGTGAAGGTGCTTTACGGAGTGTCTACAATGTAAAGTGGTACGAACGAGATAGTAGTGTGCAGAGAATGATATACCGCATGATGGTGCGACAGAAGCCAATAGTCATCAGCTTCGTATACCTCGTGCCGCAACTATCCTTGGACTATTATTGTTCGGTACATATGTTTATACATGTTATTGACTTTGTGCAACGATCTTTTGTAATAATCTCTACAAGTTCTCCAATTTTTAGTACATTGCAAACGCTTTCTCTTTGTTCACTACTCTGCGTTTTCTACTGAGTGAACCGGAAGAGATAGTAGCATCTGACATTGCTAATGCTACCTGTTGCAACAATTAACGTTCCATTCGCAAAACTAATCTAATCATCTCTAGTATTGTGATTCGGTAACATCGTTTGATATTTAGCGACGATCACTGTCACTCGTACTCGAACGATCCGTGCTATAAATTGATTGTCTTCGTAACACGTGGTTTCTGAAGTAAAGTGAAAAGTGTCCGCAAATGTTTCCCACATTTTAACTGTTCCAAATTATTGCTTAAACAGGTTTTCCAAACAACAAGATAATGTTAAACCGTAAAACCTTATTTACAAGCGGCCGTCGAACATTGTTACGTACCTTAAAATATAATTAGCACAAGACGTCCCTAAACTTTACAATTCTAGTTTTCGTAAAACGTGATTCACGTGACTCCCATAACGTGCGAAACACGATTATTCGAAGTAACCCATGCAAATACCTATAGAGCTACGTAATTGAAGCTATCGGTAACGATCGATACCAACGGTTCTACATTTACGTTCTGCTTGGGTACTAAGTACTAGTTAGAAGGATTTTCAATTGCGTCTTCGAGACTTCTACAAACTAATGAACAAGGTAGAAGATTCACATGCTATCATTAGAGTTTTCCTGATTACACGTTATTCCGTTAATTCCGCAACCGTCCGTGTATAATTCCTTTAAGTGCCGCGTTCATTATTAATTCTCCTTTTCATCGAGAGATCGGAAGAAAATGTTCTTCTTACAGTCTGTTCGCTGTGCACCGAGTCAACCGAGTGTTCCGGTCACGAAGCTCGTTTTAGTTATCCGTCTTGTTAACCGTTAACACAACCTCTCGTAGAAATTCAATTGCACACAATATTCATTTCGACTCGCGTTACAATGTTCGGAAACGTGACTCCAGAGACGGCGATTACGTTCGTTCGATTTAGCATTAGTTTGATCTGCTGCTGGCCGCTACCAGCGGTGGCAACGAAAACTCAGGTGTTGTGTTTCAGAATATCGAAAGTGTTGAATATTCTTAGCGTGCTTGGATTATTCTTCCCAGTATTGTATGCACTGATTCATCACGACGACGATATTGTCGAATTAACGAAGAAAGTCATCATTGTAGTGGGTTGTGTCAATGTTATAACACAGATACTGCTTTCTAGCCTTCAATATGATCGCTTTCAGGTAAGACTATTCAAGTTTCCTTTATTCATTTGTTTTTGGCGACGAACGTATTTAGCGATCACGTATTGCTGTATTGCTGATGTTTTCGTAAGTGAATGCAACAATACGGCCAAGTGTTCGCATGGGCAGTTTCATGTTTGTATCTATTTTATATTTCATATTCAATAGTTCTATTACGAAACAATTCAAATGTTCATATTAGTGTTTGCGAAATCAATAAATTGTTCCTGTTCTTTTTGACAAACGTGTTATCTTTAATAAAAAGATATATTAAAAGTAGGTGATCTCTATGTAAATTACGACAAAATATGTTCAGGTTTCGTGCATAGATTAGGTCGGAGTTTGATAGCAGTTAAATGTGGAAGAAGAGGCACGAAGTAGTTTTGGGAAGAATCATAATTTTTATGACATATTCCAGCGTCTGGTCGAAACAATAACAGCTAACTTCCAGAACGCAAATTTCTACGAGAGATGCGTGTTTCAACGATACGTCGACATGTACTCAAAGTTTTACGGGCTAGCTGTGCTATGGATTTACACAATAGCAGTGGTTTTCATTTTCGGAAGTATCTTCCTACCTCAGCCGTTTCCGCTACTCTCCGAATATCCGTTCCGCGTTGATTACGAACCCCTGAGAACTATAATCTTTGTACACCAGGCCATTTTCAGCTTCCAATGCTCCGCAGCGATCAGCATAAACATGTTCGCAGCACTGTTACTTCTGTACGCTTCGGCGAGGTTCGAGATTCTGATGATAGATATGCGAAAAGCTACCAGTGTCCATGCGTTGGTCGAGTGTTTGGAAAAGTTTCACATGGTGACCAGGTAAGTGAATTTTTTTTTATTTTCATCCCTAGAAACTGTGACACTGCGAAATTGTGCCTACTTTATATAGAATCGCAAAGGATATCGTCGAGGGTACTCAGTTCATAGCTTTGTTCACGGTACTGTATAGCAGTGTACCAATTATATTTGGTGGGCTAAATATTATAGGAGTGAGTACTATGAAACAACTACGACAGGTTTCAGTAGTGAAATGAATGCTACCATAAACGGTATTTTAGCGGCATGCCATCGTGATAAAACTGCAGTTTTTATTCTTGTCTTGGATGTCACTGATGGAGGTTTTCATGTGCGTATTGCCAGCCGATAATTTGATTAATGTGGTGAGTTATGTCAATAGTTATCTCATTATGAGCAGATGTTAATAGTTATCAGTGGTACATACAGGGTGTCCCAAAAATGTCTCGGAATCCGGAAATGGAGGGCTCCTGAGGTAATTTGAAGTAACTTTTTCCTTAGCGAAAATGCAATCCGTGGCTTTGTTTACGAGTTATTAGCGATAAACGCCGACCAATGAGAGGCGAGCTCGGCGATGGCGCGGCGGCCGAGCCAATGAGCGAAACTGGGTTTCGTGCGCTCGTTAGCTAGACCGCCTCGCGCCCGCCGAGCTTGCCTCTTATTCGTCAGTGATTTTTGTTAATAACTCGTAAACAAAACCGCGAATTGCATTTTCGCTAAGGAGAAAGTTACTTCAAATGACCTCAGGAACCCCTCATTTCCGGATTGCGAGACATTTTTGGGACTCCCTGTATATTGTGCGAAGATTTTTCATGTTTTTACGATTCACTTTCTTCTTTCATACGACCCTGTGTGAATTGGTTACAATTAGAGTGAGAATACTGTTCGAAGTGTGTACGAATCGAAATGGTACGACCAAATACTGGATGTACAGAAGACAGTACTCCGCATTTTGGTGCCACAGGTACCCATTGCCATCAGCGTAAAGTGCGTCATCCCGATACTTTCCTTGGAATATTACTGTTCGGTATTACTTTATTTTGTATTCGTATTTATTAGATGGTTTATAGAAAATGTCAGATGATTGAAGAGAGATAATTAGCTTTTTAACATTCGAATAAAGTTGTATTTATCGAGCTATGCACTCTTTTCTCGTAAGGAGTTTTGCAAACTCTACAAGTAAATGTAACTAAACTGTAGATTTTTATGCAAAATAGCATTTGTCGAAGACAATTTCATGAAATAGAAGTTAAATTGCAAAGCATTTCCCTTTGAGCTATTTTAACATCAGTATTCATATAATTTCAAAATCTGACATTTCATATCATGCGGCTCAATAATCAATCGACTGTTTTTCTCATTATAATATCTGAGTGCTAATTGTTCTACTGCAGTACGTATCGCACGCGGTGTCGTTGTTCACCACCCTACGTTTGGTATGGGTGGAAGAGGCCGACGTATTAGGGTTCAGATCGACGAATAGTACATGTTGAGTAGATTAATTACTCATAGTCTGAAGTACACGCGATGTTTAGAAACATATTTGGAAAGTTATATTCTGGAATAAAGATATCGTTGCTTGATACAAACTACTTTTCGTTGTTAAGAAATAGATAGGAAATACATAGTTACTGGCCATTTCCAGTGACCATGGCATTGATATATATGCTGTCCATGTCTCCCTTTTTTGTGACCTTCAAATCGTTTTTGACATCGCTTCCTGTTCCTAAAATAGTAAATTGCAAAACAATTATTTATAGATAGAACGTTCTTTGTCAACAGTATGTACAATATCATTTAATCACTCGCAATGGCTTGACCTTGACATATGTTGCACACGTCTCCCTTTTTTGTAACCTTCGAATCGTTTTCGTCATCGCTTACTATAAATCGCTTCCTATAAATGGTAAATCACAAAACAATTATTTATAGATAAAACATTCTTTATCGACGCTGTTTAATTTAATCAGTTTAATCTTTTTTAAGTTCCGGGAGCTTTAAATCAGTTCTGTGAATTCCTGGGAGTTCCTTTAATCAGTTCTGGGAATCATTCGACTAATTTCGTCGATCCCGAGTGCAGCGTTGATTTGCAAAATATTGTTTGAGGACATGCGAGCAAATTTTACGCATTTTCTCACAGTATTATCCAAGAACGGTTTGTGTAAGCAATTGCCCTGCTTCTGTGCTGTTATTGTCTTTTCTGCATTTTATGCGTTTTTATGCATTTGTATGGAGTATTCTTATTTCCTGTGCTATTTCAACACCTTTTTCGCAAACGGATGACTTGATTTTTCGGTAAATATTATTTTACGGTGATTTTTTTAAGGTAACTTTTTTATGGATAATGTATCGTCCAGTTGTATGGTAGAAGCTCGTTATACGCGATTCCTTTCTAATCCCACCAAACACAAGACATAACAACAAACAACCGCAAAGAGACGGTGGTTTATTTCGTTTACACCAACTTATTGTAAATATTCATTAAATATTCATTTTCATCGCGCGTGACTACCATATCTTACTTCTTGTACGTGAGGCATTTCTTCCGTTACGGTAATAAAGTAACATGAAATATCCAAATTATCAATCATTTTCGAAATCATTCTGTCGTCGCATTAGAAAACGGTTAGACCGTGAGTTTCGATACGCTAACTGCGTTGCTGCTTTTATTCGCTGCGACAAAATTCGACAAATCGATGAAACATTTGGAAAAGCCTGACACTTTAAGCAATATGCGCGAATACGCACAGTGCAAACGCTTTTCCTTTGTTCAACTACTCTGCTTCGTAAAACGTTTATATTCCAAATTCTATGATAATTTATCGGTATTGTATCGTTTTTTTCACTTTATCCGCCGATGGTTATTTATTCGAACTGACATTACCGTAGGGAGCACAGTGCGCGCGTGTTAACCCTTTGCACTCGAAGCTATTCTAACTGCAAATCTGAAATAAATTTTCTGACTTACTGTATTTTCATTTTATATGACAAAGTGCATTTTATGCGTGCGACTTACTCAACGGTTACACTTTCAACGATTTTTGCAAATCTAAACTTTGTTAACGTAAAAATGATCTTAGAACGTGATATAACAAATCTCAGCGGTGCCTCAGAGTCGCCACTCGAGTGCAAAGGGTTAAGAATGCGGAGAGCGAATGCGAAGAATGTGGAGAACGAGCTATGCGTGCGCGGGGGTGCGTGTGTTGTGCGAAGCGGGTCAGTGGACCGAAAGTGTGTATCGATTAAATAGAAATAAATGAGCGCAATGCCAATGTTGTTCCGTTTTTTTTTTAAGCCGGAATAAAATTCTGTCCCTTTATGATCAATATTTTAATCATTCGAGTGAATGCAGACAGACGATAAATATAAACTTTCTTTATTTCCGAAGAAATTATCACAATCGAAAATGTGCTTATCATTTTAATTACGAAGAAAATGATACAGCAAGGGGTTAAAAATATTAAATTGGATGATGCTTTAATCGAGATATCCGTTCGGAAAATTCACGATAGGCAATCGCACATTAATAAACATTTCATTCGTAAACCGACAAATCATCTCTAGTATTCAATAATATAACAATTCAATAATGTAATTCAATAATAACTTTTGAGTTGAGTGACGATCACTGTCATTCATATTTGAATGATCAGCAAGCATTAGGACGTACAGACCAAAAAAAGCACATTTTAACTGCCCAAAACTATTAGTTTAAACAGGTTTGCCTTATTTAAAAGTGGTAGCAAAACACTGTTACATACCTTACAATACAATTAGCACAAGACGCCTCGAAATTTGACAATTTCAGTTTTCCGACAACTTGACACACCTAACTCCCGGAACGCACAAAATACATTCATTCAAAGTAACTAATGCAAATGCCTATCGAAGTACGTAATTGAAGATATCAGTACTGATCGATAACAACAGTCGCACATTTACGTTCTGCTGGGATACTGAATACTAGTTAGAAGCATTTTAAATTTTGTACACGAGACACCTACAATCTACCGAAAAAAAATAGAAAGATTCGCATGCTATCATTAGAGACTCCTCGTAACTCCCACAACGTGCAAAACACGTTTATTCAAAGTAACTGATGCAAATACCTATGGAGCTAGGTAATTGAAGATATCAGTACCGATCGATACCAGCAGTTCTACATTTACGTTCAGCTTGGGTACTAAATACTAGTTCGAAGGATTTTCAATTTCGTCTACGAGACCCCTACAAATTAATGAGCAAGGTAGGAGATTCACATGCTATCATTACAGTCTTTCTGATTACACGTTATTCCGCTAATCCATACGCACCATGTGTGCCGATGAGGTACTTCCGCAACCGTCCGTGTATAATTCCTTTAAGTGCCGCGTTCATTATTAATTCTCCTTTTCATCGAGAGATCGGAAGAAAATGTTCTTCTTACAGTCTGTTCGCTGTGCACCGAGTCAACCGAGTGTTCCGGTCACGAAGCTCGTTTTAGTTATCCGTCTTGTTAACCGTTAACACAACCTCTCGTAGAAATTCAATTGCACACAATATTCATTTCGACTCGCGTTACAATGTTCGGAAACGTGACTCCAGAGACGGCGATTACGTTCGTTCGATTTAGCATTAGTTTGATCTGCTGCTGGCCGCTACCAGCGGTGGCAACGAAAACTCAAGTGTTGTGTTTCAAAATATCGAAAGTGTTGAATATTCTTAGCGTGCTTGGATTATTCTTTCCATTGTTGTATGCACTAATTCTTCACCGCGACGACGCTGTCGAATTAACGAAGATAGCCATCATTATGGTGGGTTGTCTCCACGTTATAACACAGATAGTGCTTTGTAGCTTTCAGTACGATCGCTTCCAGGTAAGAATAGCGAAGTTCATTTTATGGTTTGGTTTTGGCGACGAACGTATTTGGCGATCACGTGGTATATTGCTGTAGTTTTTGTAAGTGGATGTCACGACGACAATACTACCCACTGTCTACATGCGTATTTTTTTGTATTGATTTGCATCTACGTTGCATATTCGCTGCACATCACACCTACATATATTTTCGCAGTCTAATTACAACTTTCGAGAACGATGCATTTGTAATCGAATGACACGTATTCCGATTAACGAGACATTAAAAAACATGGACTGATCAAAAGATTAATGTCCGATGTATAATGTAATGTGTAACGTAAATACGTTCGTTTCATTTATGTATGTATTTTATGTATCATCTTTAAAAGCTCACTTAGAAGACGATGCAAATGTTCATATTAGTGAATACAAAATCAATAAATTGCTCCTGTTTTTTTTTCTTTGACAAACATGTTTATTCTTTATAAAAAGATATATAGAAAGTAGGTGAAGACAAATACGTTCAGGATTCGCGAACAGATCACAATTTGACAGCAGTTTAAATTTGGAAGAAGGCGCACGAAGTATTTGGGGGGAAACATAATTTTTGTGACATATTGCAGCGTTTGGTCGAAACTATAATAGCTAACTTCAAGAACGCAAAGATCTACGAGAGATGCGTGTATCAACAATACGTCGACACGTACTCAACGTTTTACGGGCTGACAATCATATGGTACTATGTATCACCAATGGTTGTCGTTTTCGGAAGTATTTTATTACCTCAACCATTCCCCACAGTCTCCGAGTATCCGTTCCGCGTCGACTACGAACCTGTGAGGACTATAATCTTTATCCACCAAGCGTTCGTCGGCTTCCAATGCTCCGCATCGGTCAGCGTGAACATGTTCGCAGCACTGTTAATTCTGTACACTGCGGCGAGGTTCGAGATTCTGATGATAGATCTGAGAGAAGCTGCCAGCGTCGATGCGTTGGTCACGTGCGTGAAAAAGTATCATGTGGTGACCAGGTAAGTTAGTGTTTCTTTTTCCCCCTCTAGAAACTGTGACACGCGATGAAATTCTGTTTGTTTTATATAGAATCGGAAAGGATGTCGTCGAGGGTATTCAATATATAGCTTTGTTCACGGTACTGTATACCAGTATAGGCCTCGTATTTTGCGGGCTAAATATTATAGGAGTGAGTACTATGAAGCAACTACGACAGGTTACAGTAGTGAAATGAATGCTACCATAAACGGTATTTTAGCGGCAAGCCATCGTGATAAAACTGCAGTTTTTTTTCTTGGCTTGGCTGACATTGACGGAGGTTTTCATGTGCGCATTGCCAGCCGATAATTTGATACATGTGGTGAGTTATGTCAATAGTTATGTCATTATGAGCAGATGTTAATAGTTATAAGTGGTACATACAGGGTGTCCCAAAAATGCCTCGTAATCCGGAAATGGAGGGCTCCTGAGGTAATCTGAAGTAACTTCTTCCTTAGCGAAAATGCAATCCGCGGCTTCGTTTACGAGTTATTAGCGAAAAACGCCGACCAATGAGAGGCGAGCTCGGCGCTGGCGCGAGGCGACCGGGCCAATGAGCGGAACTGGGTTTCGTGCGCTCGTTAGCTAGACCGCCTCGCGCCAGCCGAGCTTGCCTCTTATTGGTCAGTGTTTTTCGTTAATAACTCGCAAACGAAGCCGCGGATTGCATTTTCGCTAAGGAAAAAGTTACTTCAAATGA